TTCGACTTTTTATTCCCAAGACTGGAGGTAAAAAAAACAATCTCTCACACTCAAAGTATCTTACAAAAAGCCTTTTCCACATGCACGCATTTTCTCACCTACTACTTAAAAAGCACCTACATTTTGAACAGCACAATTAAGAAAGCATGCGATACCTCAAAGAGTAAATTGAATGCACATTCCCAAACTGGACTTATTTATACTGCTTATGTACAGATTTTACCTATCATATAAAACCAGAAATAGTTTCATTTCAGGTTCTTAAGTAACATCTAGAACCAGTACCATAAACAAGCTCACTTTATTTGTGATCAAATTATCAGAGTCAATATCTTCAATATAAATGGGCAAGGCATACACTTCATACTTAAACCAAAAGATCAAACAAGCTAACTGCTTTATAACCTCTTTCCTGCTACATTTCCAACATCCTTCAGGGACTAGAGTCTGAAATGCATTTCACAAAAGTGTCAGCTACCAAAACACTACCACAACTTACTGTATCTTCTACACGTTGGGAGGGATTCCAATCCACAAAGATCATAGCTATTTCCTAATTCTTAAATAATGAACTAACAATACATTCCTTTCTCTTTCATGCTAACTCTCATAGCTCCCCATACATATCTTCCAAAATGTAATTACAGATTATTATCTGTGCCTAAAATGAAGAACATACATGTCTTAAGAACTGCAGTCTTAAATTGACCAACCAAGCTGACTACCTGAAATCGAGCCACAAGTTACACATGAAGAACAGACAGCAGTGAAGGCAGTCAGATCTCCATTACAATAAAGATTTCATTATTCATTCTTGTTTCACATTGAGAGGAATACAGGTATAGCCAAGGCAAATAATGTCACTGCCAACTTCAGAAGGCAGTCTATTTCAGTAGTCTACATTTAAGAGCTAACAAGTGAAAACTGAATTAATTGCATTAATTATGGTAAGTTCCTCAGGAGACTAGAACGAAACAGGTGCTTACAGAGGCTGTTTCCTAAACCAGACAACAACCCTTACATTCCCACCCACTCCAGGCTTAAGTATCAGGTATTTTCTTTTGTCATTGCTAATGCTAACACTGCTTTATTTTGCCATATCTCAAGGACAACCTAATACCATCTTGACACTATTATGCATCCCTTCAAACCTACAGTTTCCAATTAGCACATTTCATCTCCATGAAGAAAATTTTCATGGCATACACAGGAAACGCACCAACTTTTAACTTCCAAAGATGCTCATTCTAAAACTAAAAGATTAAATCTACATAGCAGCCCTAAGCATCTAGTGCACATCAGCTGACACTAACAATTCAAGCACCCTTCTGGATATAGGATGAAGTGAGGGCTTGGGATAGCAAGGGAAATAAGGTGAACTGATAGCATATCTATTATTCTTCATGTGGAAGGACTAGTAAATACAACCTGAGGCCAAACTGCAAGAGCCTAAGAAAAAACATTCACATAGCTTTTAGATTTTTGATCATTACTAAAATAGTGATGGAAACAAACAAGTGTGATTTGCTAATAGATCCACTGGCCTTTTTATTGAGATACCGCTTAAAAAATATATATTTTAAGTATTTTAGATGCTCTGCAATCAACTATTAAAAGAATACATACACACCCAGAAAATAGTGGTGAACAAAATGGGGATAATTTCCAAAATACTTCTATAAAAATTATGTACAATGAATAACAAAAGGAATTTTCACTCAAAGCCAATGTTTAGGAACTTTCTTCTACTTCAAGTGAAGATGAGCAAAGTCTGTATAGATTTGCTTGGTTTAGATATTAGAATTAACTCCTTGATTTTAGTGTTTCAGCACAGTAAATGACCATGAACTTCCAAGCACCATACTGAATTACTTGGACCATCAAATAAAAACACAGCAGTTAAGACTTAAGTGAAAAAATCAGATCCTGTCTTTTGCACAGAACATTTTCTTGCTAGGTTCATGCATTAAAAAATTTAAGTACTATGAAATCATGCATAGGATTATCTTTTAGCTGTTCCACACACATGTATACAAGTCATGCAACAACATAATGCATCTGCCAATTTTCTTCTCTCAGCATAATTAAGTTGTTCACACGAGAATAAAGCACCTTTTCAGAAATGCATGCCTTTGTAATCCCTAGTTAAGTATTTAAAATTTCTATATCAAACAAGATCTACAATTATCAAACAAGACACATAACAGCATTCTTTTGAACAGAAATATTTCTAGCAATAAATTTGCAAGGAAGCATGGAAGCACTGGAATAATTAGGTTTTACTACCATTCATACGGATAACAGCTAATATTGACAACTGACTATTGGTTAAGTTAAAGTGGTAATAAATGGGGGGGTAAGGGAATGAATATTTGAGCTGAGCACATCACTGAAGAGCTAACAAGAAAATGAAGGTGGAAAAGGCTTCAAGGGTTAGTAGGTTTCAGGCACTCTAGCAGTTAGTAAGGGGACAGCACAGCAAGATCTTAATGACAAACTGAAGCAGGTGCTCAGAAACAGAAGTACATCCTGGAAAACTGCCACAGAAAATACAAGGCAAGGCTATTAAGAACTAATTCACTATTCAGCAATCTATCCCTCTGCATTTTTTTTTTAACATCATGCAAATAGCCACTTAATGTATTTGTAATGATTTTCCTTTGTGTAAGTATTCTGTACAGCTTTTAATCTTTAAGGTGCTTCATACATTAATGTATGTAGCATTACTAATTAATAATGTTGTATATTCAACACTGATTAGTAATTTTTAAATTAGGCAATATAAGTATTCAGGGCCAAATAAAAGTCCTTTTGTTGCATATAATTAGAATCTGACATGGTCAAAAACAGACACACAACCACCCTGCTAGAAATGGTTTGCATTTGGAATCAAACCACATTTCATTCCAGTAGCTTTGAAGTATTCTAGGAAGCAAAAATTAACTGAAAGTACCAAAGAGTCTTCAGTTGCGACAAACTATTATTTTAACAACCCTCTTCACACTCAGCGTGCACATAGCAGTGGTTGATACAAAAAACAAACCTCTGCAGAAAGAGTCCAACTTTATTGGAAGCTCTATTTAAACACAAAGTCAGACTTTTGTGGGGTTTATAAACTAAAACACAGATATATGGAGTAGTTGCATGATCAACAGTCAATATAATACAACTAAGAATGAAAAACAAAAATAAAACATAAGACTACAGTGGTGCTGTGAAAAACTGTTACATTCCAATTTAATCAGAAAAGATTTAATAAACCTTAACAGAACAGAAAATCTCAGAGATAGGGAAAGGAAGGGTAATCAGAGTAAAGCTATCAGGGCAAGGGAAAAGTCTCCCATTGAAAAAGTGATATGTCCTTTTGCAAAAGATTTTTAACTTGAAATTATATTAAGTGTAAAAAGACAATGCTAATTGCTTGTATAGAAAAATCAGTAATTAATTCCTAGAGGTAGAATGCATTTTTGCTATAGAAGAACCCTAAGAAAATAATGAAAATAAAATTCAAAACCAGTGAGAATGAGAAAAATACAGTAATTCTATTTTACATATCATTAACTGTGCATCTGCAGGAAACAGACTGGAATGGATAACTAATCTGTTATATCTGTTTTAATATAAAGAAGAACAAAGAATTTTAAGAGAGTAAGGGGATTATTTCCCCCCTGCCCTTTGTAAACTGCAACAGGACTTCTGGTTAAAATTAATTCCTTCTAAGAGCAAAGAAGGGCTCAACAAAAACTGCATCAGAACACAAGCAGTAAACAAGTGCATATATTTCCTTCCTAGAAAAATAGGGTAGCAAATCTGTGTGTAATGGCTGACCTTTTTCATAACACTAACTAGCTCTTGACAGACAAGAACTTTAATGTGCTGTGGATCTGCCTGTACTCTGAAAGGATTACAAACACAGTTACAAGGGTAAAGGACATTATGTGTTTCCCCATCCTATTAATACCACCTTCAACAAAAAAGAGTACCAAGTGGAACACAAAATGGTTATATGAGAATTAAGCAATTAACTCGCAGGACAAAATAACAAATTGAAGGTTCGCACGAGGGAAAAAAAACAGAGTAGCTTACATTTATACAGAACCTTACCCATGAACCTGAGTACATTTAAAAAAATTAAGGTTCATCACCCCTGTTAAACCACACGTTCCACTGACTTGCACACAACACTGATGATTCCCCCAGCACACCAGAATTCTGTGACTTCCGTTTAGACATTCAAGGACCTTAACACTGACCTCAAGACTACAGCAATTCAGTAAAACAAAACAAAAAAACAGCATAGGATGGAGAAACATGGGGAAATGACACCAAGTTTTTCTATACCATTGGACCCCTTCCCTTCAAATGTTTTCCAAAGAAAAATGGTAGAGATGCAATCTGTCCCTCTTCAAAGTTAGTAATGAACAAAAAAAAAAGCATTCAAAGTGAAAAAACAAATGTTCTTATACTTCATTTTGTTATGTTTCTATGGCACTACTATTACTGCTTTATCAACTGAAAAGACAGAAATGTTCCAGAGTAAGCAACCTATAGCAGAAAGGCAGGTCTTTAGAATAAGAACTATACCTGAATGAGTCTCAAAGAAGAGAGTCTAGCTTCTGGATTTCAGCAATGAAACAGTAAAGAAGTGAACATGCATCAGGTATGACAAAAAACTAATGGTTGATTAGTAAAAAGAAGAAATGAAAGACAAACAAAACTAAGTTAAAGCAGCATGAACTATCACTATCTAGGTATACACATAAAACAGCCACTTGCATGTCTAGCAAAACATAAAAATCACAGTAGGTTACAACATAAACATGCCAAACAAAATGAAAAGAACAGATAACATCACCATATAGCACACTTAGGACAACTAACTAGAAACTACATGCTAAGCATGCTAAAAAGCACTTTCTACAAGCTTAGAGAAACAGGAGCTTTTTCAAATCACAGCCTACCATGCTGATACTTTGGCCAGAGAAGCTGAATTTGCTTACCTCCTGTAAGAGATCTGCCTGTTCAATGGCTTTGAGAACATTTTTCTTCGAAGTCTCTTGAACTTCCCCTCCTAAAAGGAACTCATCCAGAATGAAATAGGCTTTTTCAAAGTTGAAGATGATATCGAGTTCACATACCTAAAAAAACCATCAAGCATTATTGCAGAGTGGGAGGATACTATCTATTGAGGTATATCCTCTCACAAAACTTAACTTGTTCAGAGCTTCACCAAACTTCACCAAATCAAGATGTTAGCCTCAGGCTATAACCTTTTAAGAAATGGGGCAACAACAAAACAATCAAGTCCTTTGAGAAAAAAATTAATGGAAAAAATCTTTTTTTGCTTGAGTTAAAAACAGTTACAGCAACCTCTTTGAAAAATGTTTTCATATTTAAAAAGGGTTCAATTCACTACCATCAGTATGACGGGGTTCTTCATGAAGCACAAGAATATCCTTATAAAAGCTTTCTTCTTGCCTGCAGTATCCAAAGGCAGGTCATGCAATCTTAACAGAAAAATGTGAAAACACAATCTCAAATTTCTTATTCATCCTGTGCATTTCCTAGTCAGAAGGACTAGGAAGGCAGAAGGACGAGCAGCAGTTTTTCTAAGAGTGCTAATGTACATTACTACAGTTTGCGTTTGCTACCTGGGTAAGCAGATGTCTGTCTTTTCCCTGCTAGTTCACAACCAACTGCCTCCTTTCGAAGCAGATGCAAGAAGTGCTCACACAAGAGAGCAGTGCCAGGGAGAAGAAAAGCTGGGTGCCTAGACAGAAAGCTAAGGATAAGATTTTATCTGACCAAGTGAGACTACTATGAAATGAAACAAATACAAGCAATTAACACCAGAATACTAACAGTTGTTCTCCCAAATTAATAATTTTTTAAGTTATATAGGCAACCATCAGTTTCGTTTGGCTAAGCAACATAAGATGTCTTAGATGCACCTTTTCAACAGCTAATTGATGGTGTTTTTTTAAAGTGCTGTGGGCATTAAAACAAAATGACATAATGTAAAGAGACTATGAATCTATAAAAAATAAAAAGAAATTACTTACACTGCCAAAATACTTGTCAAGAAGTTCTACATAGCGATGAATTATTTCCAGAGTTATTAGTTCATTGTCCTGATCTTCAATAGCACAGCAGAAATAGAGGCTTGCGTATCTGTAATAACAAAATAATCCTGATGTTAGCATAAGGACATGAGCAAAATGAATGCACTTGAGATGTATTACATTCTCAGTAGTCCTTCGTACGCAAGTTTAGCATACTATTACTCTAAATCAACAGCCATGCAAGTTCTACCAAAGAATGGCTGAAAAACCAGCAGACATACACATGTACAAAAGGGATCTGCCTTGAGTCAAGCAGGACTTCAGTCTTTACCATCCTTTAGCTGACAGAATTAAATTAGCCTAAGAGGTGGCTGGAAAAGGAAATGTATTTGATTGTTTGGCCTCCTGGCAGAGTTCTGGGGCAAGGTATTTTCTCTACTACCTGTAACATCCAGACACTACTATACTAATCAACACATTCAATCTTAAATTTTTATCAAACAAGCTACACACAGTGATATTAAAAACTATAGAAAATGCCTTGGGAAAGATAAATTGAATTAGCAATGAGGATTTGGTACTTATACTGAATTTAACAAATACCCCCCAAACTCCAAAACTAACACTGACATCATATAACCCAACTGCTATTAAGTCAACAACTCAATCACTACCAACTGTCCCGGTATTAGACTAATGAGAGGCCATCAGCTAGTTTCTAGCAATCCACTTCCATGTTGCAAGACAGGGAATTCTTTACTTCAGATATGATCTTGAGTTCCACTTTAACAGAAAGACCATCCAATTCTACTGTGACCTACCATACACTTGTTCAAGTCATGTTTAAAAAAGCTGATGCAAAAACAAAACAGGAATGAAAGCTAAAAAACCCATTTAGTCTTTTCTAAAGTGCCAAAACCATATGCCATACAGACACACATGGCACAAATAAGATTAAGTAACACCTGTTGTAACTGGTAATTTACATGAACCAGGAACAGCTTTTGTTTGCCTGTTTAGAGAGGACAACTGGCCACATTAAGCAGCCTGAGTAGCCAGCCCTATTGACAAACAAGTCATTCAGATGTGAATGCCAAGTTTAAGATGCATATTTGTTTCCCATGCACAGAAACAGATACATCTTTTAAACATTACGCGTATTTTATCAGCTAGGACTTTGTAAGCCCACAAAGAATCTCTCAAGGTTTTCGGCTCCAAGTCCTGCAAAAAAAAAACATTGCTTTTTGTAGTATGTTCAAATTTGTCTCCCAGCCACTCACCTAGCACCATTCATGACCTGAAAGTCCCCCCACTCTGCTCTAGCTGAGTCAAATTCCTATGACTTCATCATGAACAACTAATCACAGTAACTCTTGAGTAAAAGTTTTAAACTAATATAAAAAAATTACTGCCTACAGCTTCTTTCCAACCTACCACAAAACATGATGGGAAAGAGAGGAAGACGCCTCCATTGAAGCACTTAAAACTTTAATTCCCTTGCTCTTTCATCTCTTCACCATGGTGACTTCTCAGCTCATCAGAAGTCCTATCTGAGCATGGTTCTTTTGATTTTACATTGTTGTGCCTCACTAATTTTTCAAGGACATTTACAGTCCTTGTAGTAGCTTGCAAGATTCAATCTGTATAAGGCATCTTTTAGAGAAAGCTATTTTTAAAAGTATTGGAAAGTGATACTATAAAGAAAAATCATTCCTACTGAGGAATTTATAAGTCAAACTCCATACTATTGTATTTCATTGCAGGAGAAAAAGAGCTTTGGCACATTAGTTGACATTTACACTAATTACCAGCACTCAGGCCAAATCCATCTAAACAAAGCTTTCTTCATATTCAGATGAGCAGCACTGATTATGATGAAGTGTAGTTAAACTGTTCCCTCACAGTGCTGAAACCCAAGCTGAATCACATACCAACAGACCTCATCAAATCAAATTCAACTCAAATATTTGAAATTTATCCACACGGGACAGTCCTTTTGTGGTCCCCTATTACTTAAGATGCACAGAACTATTTTATGCAAATACCCACAAAAAGGGGGGTGCAGAACTACCTAAAGTATTTTCCCAGAAAGTGGTCTGCTCTGTGTCCTCATTTAAAAGAAAATATAACATACTTTTGTAAGACTTTATTTGGCAGCTAGTGAGTAGACTACACATTCAAGCTCTGCCAACTGCAGTTTTGGAGAAAGAACACCAAGAAACAAAAACTACTCAGTGGGCAACTTGATGCAAAATGGAGGACTGGGTATCTATCATTATATGCAGAGAATATTTTTCAAAGTATTTTTTAAGTAGCAACTGTGACTAATGGATTACTACTCAGCAAAAGAAAATAAATGCAGATTCAATAAGCCTACACAGCAAAGAGCAGAATAGTATAAACAAGCCAGCCAGCATTGCAAAGGGCATGAGCATACTACAAAGGTATACCTTTCTTCAGACACAAATTCTCAAAGGCAATAGTTTATCCTATTTTTTTCCTCTGCAGGCCAGGGCTCCAGAAAAAAAACATCTACATATAGTCTGCAGCAGATAAACTAGAGGTTTTGCCAAGTGTAGAAGTTTACATGGAGACTGTCCATACGAAGACAAGTATATTACTGTACTCAGGCTGAAAAAGATTTCTGCTCTGCAGAAGCGTTGTTTCTTCCTAATGAGCCTGACAGAACCCTGTCTTTCATATGCATCCAATGAACAGGCAAATCCTGACAGTAAAGTATGCCACATCACACAACAGCAAATGTAGTGCAGTCTGTAAGAAACATTCTGCCCTTTTTACTCCTATTGCAATTGTGGTGTTTTGGTTTTTTTTTTTCTCAACAGGTATTATTAGCAGAATCTTCAGACCCAACTCAGCTGCTTACACTCACTTAGGGAAATATTTTACAGTAAACATTCTCCACTTGTCAGAAAGGGGACCAAGTGCAGAGAGACCAAAATCACTTTGGAAAAAGTCACCTAAAAACAGAATGAAAGAACAGAAAGGAAACACAAGAGATATAAATACACAAATTCCTGCTTTCAGATAGATGGCCTTAGGGCTTTTTGTGCTAGCAAACAAATTCATGAACCTCCCCCTCAATAATTGCACCAGTTCAGTAGTGGGAAGCCTCACAAATTGTCAGGCAATGCTTCAGCAGAGTTCTCCACTACTACTCTGCTCGCAACCACGTTCAGTAACTCTGCTGGGAGATCAGGTCACTGTGGACAGAGCATAAACTTGCAAATCCTATCAGTTCAGTGGTGTTCTCCTACCAGGTGAGATAACACCTGCTTGAAGTCATCCCTGGAAATTTGTCACCAGGTAAAGCTGCAAGCAAGCCATAAGTCTGTCAGCATCTAAGTCACTTTGCATGTAGGTCCTAATTACAGACATTTAAAGCTTACGGAGTTCAGCAGGAGCAGAGCTGAACTGCCACTGACAACTCAGCTGCCTTTAAGAGGCAGACAGGTGCCTAAGGGAGCCCAAGAATCTGTGGTTTGGTGATAGCTGACCCAGTGAAAACTGGGACCACTAAAAAGTTGTGCTTGGCAAAAGATTTTTTTTCCTCCTCCAAAAAACTTACACATTTCTTTAATAAAACAAGAAGTTCTGAGACTCTGGGACAGACAGATTAGTCACTACAGAAATCAACAACAATAACCCTACTGTGGTGTTTTACCCCCAGCCAGCAACTAAGCCCCACGCAGCCGCTCACTCACTCCCCCCCCATCCAGTGGGATGGGGGAGAAAATCAGGAAAAGAAGTAAAACTCCTGGGTTGAGATAAGAACGGTTTAATAGAACAGAAAAGAAGAAACTAATAATGATAATGATAACACTAATAAAATGACAACAGTAGTAATAAAAGGATTGAAATGTACAAATGATGCGCAGGGCAATTGCTCACCACCCGCCGACTGACACCCAGCCCAGTCCCCGAGCGGCGATTCCCCGCCCCCCCCCCCCCTTCGCAGTTCCTAAACTAGATGGGACATCACATGGTATGGAATACACTGTTGGCCAGTTTGGGTCAGGTGCCCTGGCTGGGAATGAGAAACTGAAAAATACTTGACTATAGTCTAAACACTACTGAGCAACAACTGAAAACATCAGTGTTATCAACATTCTTCACATCCTGAACTCAAAACATAGCACTGTACCAGCTACTAGGAAGACAGTTAACTACATCCCAGCTGAAACCAGGACAACTACCAAAGTTAAGCATTTCTTTTACAGTTTCTCATTTCAGCAAGGTTACGCCCTCCTAGTAGTTTTAGAAATTAACAAAAGCTTGGTACTGGTAATCCTCTAAGAAAAAGCTGCTGCTTCCTGATGCTGAAGTCCTCCTGCGCCACATGACCTAGAATGCTGTACAAAGAGGACCCCATCAAGTTAAAATAATCAAACCCAAGTACCTAATTTACTATAATCATTGTATTCAGTCAGTTTTACAGAGCCACCTAATTAACACCACAGTAACATGTTTAACAGATACAACTGGCAGCTAAGATGTACATAAAGAAAAATAGGGATCATGTCAACCGCTGGGCACACACCACTAGCCACAGGACTGCACCTTAGGTTCACAATACTTTGAGCTGAGGCACACTACTTGCAGAATGGGCTCTTTCATTGTTTCTTTCAGTGGGGAAGGGTAAAGAGAAAGTTGTAAAACTTATTTTTCCATAAGTCTTTAACATAACCTATGACTATGGTTATTTAATGTTACAGTGAAAGACAATCGCCACAACATTAAGGGCAGCACAAGTTCCAACAGTTTTGTAACTTCATACTGCAAACTGACACAAAAGCAAAGCCACAGTCCTTAATCAAGTTATCAATCAACAAGTCCCACAATCTCAGTAAACCAAGTGCTAACAAAGTAAAATTTACATAGAAATTGGTTATTCTGCAATTTCTGAATTTGACTGCAATATAACTCATACTGCCAGAAACTAAAATAGTGAACAGCTGAGATCTTCAAAGAAAAAAAAAATCACATCCAATCATAAGTTCCTTTTTTTTAAGTAAAACTAGGAATTTTAACATTTAACACATTTCTCTGCCACAAGGGGAAAGCTTTATGAACTTCTACCCTGCATGCTCCAATACCACTACAGTTAGTTTTTAAAACAACAAAACGTGTAAAGTTATCATTAACTGTGTTTGCTAAGTTTGAGCTGTGTGCAGATGAATCCCTCTCTATTTTCTTAAAGTGCAACTGTTGTTGGCTTCCAATGTTTGAATTTTTTTCTTTCCAGCAAGTCACTTCAAACCTCTATTTGTCTCTTGAAGTTAAAAGCTCACATCCTTTTTCAATCTTCTCGTGTCTACCAGTCTGAAAAACTGTCTTCCAAATGAGCTACAGAACACATGCATCCCAATTCATGAACCATGTCAAAAGCAGCGCACCTTTCCATCTGTGTTGTGTAGCACTAAAAAAAAAAATTAAGGCCGCAACAACTGACCCTATTTTGCAACCATTATCAATGCTACATGTATGAAACCAAGGAAAAGAAAAGTTAGTCACACACATTCAGATAGATTTTAAAACACTTAGTTCTATTTTCTTGAAGTTTCATTCAGCAAGCATCCTATAAGGATGAAATGCTACAGAGCTAAGGAGGCTAATCAAAATAGTCCAGCTTTCTTGATAAATGTTAAGCATCAGAAACAGCAAAAGCTACTGGCTTGCCAATTTTGCATTTGAGTTCATTCTGTTCTTACAAAAAGGTACATCAATGAGACCCTCGAGTATACTTCTCATAATGCCAACTGTTCTTTGAGTTGCAGTATCTAGGTCAATTCTCTCTTACACATTGATAGTAAATACACAAGAACAGCACATCAATTTCAGCAATGCAAGACTCATAATAGCAATATGCACATGCAACATGTACAATAGCACCATGAACCTACTTTTATAGCTTATATTGAAAAACATTTGCACCAGGAGGTTCAGATCCTTCCCAGTAATAGATCAGACAAGAACAGATCTTAGTAGAGATGCTCAATAGCCTTTTGTCTGTGAGCAACTGGGAGCACCTTTTGCAATTTCACAAACCACACAAAGTTCCTGCAGGTGTTTCTTTTTTAGCCACCCACCTTTCAGAAAGTCTTAGACTTTGACTATTACAGTTGTCATCTTGGGATTATCTACTTTTGAGCTATAGCAGATCTGTCTTTTCTAAGCATCATACTAGCTGGTGCTCATCAACTTTAATTACAGCGTGATAACTGGAAAAAGTCCCACAAATGTAAAAGCTGTTAATGTTATCACATACAGGAATTTAAACTATCACCTGTTATACCCAGTTCTTCTGGTGATGTTTTACCCTAACAAAACATGGCAAAAAAGCAAAAGTAAAACAAGATTTGAGATGTTCATTAGCTTGATACAAGGTAATCTTAAGCAAGATTTCATAGGCTAACTGTGCCAGATTGGTTTGCAGACAGTGAAATAAACTACTGCAGTCAGCTGTGCACACCAGCAGTCTAGCAGATGGACTGCAGTCTACATCCAGCCCAAAATGGGCTGGATACATCTCCCAGCAAATTTCTTCATTTTCCTTGACCACAGAACCCACAGCACACTGAGATGCACAAACACCACAACTTTCAGCAACTCAAACGATCACACCCAAATTTCTACCAGTTCCCTAGACACAGAAGGACATGACAAGTAGCTGTTAACAGCAATAAACAGGGAGGGAGGGAAAGCAGCTGCGTGGAATCAACTCACCACCAGAACAGCTACTGCTGTTCAAGACTGGGCAAGGAAAGGAACAGACTGGCCTACTCATGCCTAATTTTTCTGATCTAGTCCCATAAAAGCCCAGCTGAAAGAGCACTTGCAGGCACTAACACTTAAGGGAGCACACAAAGGATTTGAGCAAGCTCATCTACATGTATGTACAAGAAGTTCTGTGAGGAAACCTAGAGGCAGAAGAAAAAATCATGTATGGTTTCTCTAACACAGCCTTACACACTGTTCCTCCTCTTTCCTCATCCTTGTGTTAAAGAACTACATGCATTAGATAGACTGGTAACATTCATGTGCATGATGTTACATGCACCAACGTAGATATGAAACCAGGACTTAGAACATCTAAACCTTTTTGATTCCACCCATTTGGTACACTGGAAAAGTTACAGACTCTTCACTTCAGCTCCAGTTCTCTGTCCTACCTACAGAAAGGATACGACAATATTTATTGTAGGGCACAAATTACTTACCATCTCAAAGAGAAAATGCATAAACCTTCTGAAGTTTATAACTAACCAGGGAAAGGAGATAACTCGAGCTTCCATAGCACCAGCTTTAGCTGGAAGAGATGCAGCCTACCAAATCAGGATGAGGATTAGTGTTACTTGTGGAGAAAAATATGCTCACACCACTACACTGCAATACATTCTAAAGATCAGCAGAAAGCTAAAAAATGCTTGCCAAATACTCCCAGAAAAGTTAGGGAACAACTGAGAAATGAAACTATTGCAAAGAAAATTACACAGTACTTCCACTAAAAGAAAGTTAGCCGTGATTTTTTCACTTAGGAGAAATGCCTTTTTGTTCATAGCAAAAAAACCCAAAAACACCAAAACACAAACTAGGTACTCTGAAAAATTATTTCCTTGTTTCTACGAGCCTTTAAAAGCAAGTTACGTTTTCAGGTGATTTATGAAGTCATTGCTTGAAGGAAATGTTTATAAAATTTAGTTTTTCTTTATCACCTATTAAATCTTACATGCTTTGCATTTATGTACTGCGTGAATCTAAGGAGAGTACCAAGAACCACCACTCCCTATAAAAGTAGGAGGAAACCTCATTTCTTCAGCACATTTCTAAATGCATGAGTGATTTTGCACACATGAATGATTCCTACTTGGTTATCAAATTAGATTCAAGGGAAAAGTCAGTCTTCTCCATAACCAGCAGAGGGAAGGAAAAAAACCAATAACAACAAAAGAAAAAAAAAATCAACTTTCATTATTTTCTTCCTACTTATTACACTGTTTGTGATGTATGGCAATTATGAGGTTAGTGAGACAGAACAACCTTTTGTAGACAATCTTCAGGTCTCTCCACTCCAGGAAGCTGCACATTTTCGGTTTGCGGGCTAATACTGTTTGAACAAGTTCCCTTGTGATTTTCTTCTTTTCTTTGTCAGATAATGGGACATACCACTTCTGGAGTCTCAGTTTCCCCTGGCGACTAAAAAGCAACATAAACTGCATCTGTTGAATTAGAAGAAGGAAAAAAAAAGGATTAATCTCGGTCTCTTAATTCTAAAAAGATTTCTGTGAGGAAAACCAAACAGAAGGCAAGATAGCCATCCGAAGCCCTAACTACATTACGCATTTCTATAGCGGTGGCAGATGTTACACAAGATTTGAAAGTACCAATAATACAAAGGATTCCGCTGAACAAGGTCGGTCAAAGCAAAGATAGTAGAAAGCACACGCAAGTTTCAGAAATGGGTATCAGAACCACCAGGTAGCGAGTGAATACACCCAAATTTCAGACAAACTGTATCCAGCACTGGTAGGGTTGCATTTGCGTATACTACAGAAAGTGACAAAAACCAGCACAGCAGTCTCCTCAAATACCCAAACTCATTTTCAATTCACCGGATTAGAGCCTTACAGCAGCAGCAATTTGCACTTAAGATCTTTCCGAAAAGCCTCCGAATACTTTAAAAGGCATTAAATCTCCCAACGGAGAGTCCTACGGCATAGAAAAGCCTAGTCTTTTCTCACATTACACAAAAGGAGTAGAGATTAAGTGCTTTCCCTGCGGTCCTATGTTCCAGGTCTCGCTTCCTCCAAAGGAGTGATGTTGCAATTATATTTTAAGAGGAACTTGTCGGCTGTGCTTTCCAGCAGCTGCAACATTAAAGGAAACGGCTTTTTTTTTCCTCCCCCCCCGCCTTTTTCGCTCGAAGTTGTATTGGACTGAGGAAGTTTCCCAGGCAATACGACAGACGCGAAATACGACGAGAAAACCCAGCCTAGTCCCGGGTGGCAAGTCCGACCAGCGCCAGCACAGACAAGAGGCGGCGGCTCCGAAGCCCGGCGGTGCCGGGGCGCTCCCTCCCGCCGCCACAGCCCCCCCCAACTCCCGCCGCGGCTCCTCCCCAGGCGGGAGCGGTCGCGGGCG